GAAGTGTGTGATGATCGTTCTTTGATGTTTCGACTAAGAATCAGAGAAAGAACAGAACCTGATCATCACTGTCATATTAGCCAGAGGTATGATTACCACAGTCGTCCGTAGCTTCGTGATCATCGTAATTTAGCTCTTTATGATTAGGACCTTCGTCGTCAGTGCCAGAGTTTGTCACCACATTCGTATATGCGTGTTTGTTGTTTATTACGATTATGATATTGAGGATTATCGCTTTAAGCAGGTTCGTAATTATGATATCAATGATGGTGATGATCAGGATGAAGACTGATAAACCTATAATAAAGTTCCGCGTCGTTATCACACATAACATCCATTGTGATCACGGTTAATATATGTATGTTTATCGTGATCATGATTATCGTTAGTAGATCAAAAAGGACGATGTTGCGAAGAAACTTTGGTCAGTCAATAGATTTCGATGATTATTTTTTAGATTTTGCCAAAGTTACGCGTTTCACTACAATGCTTATCTATTAAATATGCACGTAATGACTCTTGATTTATTTACGCGGTTAAACTGTTCGACAAAAGATGTAGTAGTGTCTGGAGTCACAGTTAAGTTTCATATTACACGGTCGATGTTAATCAGAGCCTGGACTCGGTTGCACCCTGGGCACATTTTCAAACTCTCGCAGGAGCGAGTGTGTTCCCTAAAAGCATCCAGAAAGACTTGTGATTTCAGTAGAATTTTCCTTATCTTAGGTGGTTGCTTCAGTTACTCGGCTATATTTAATATTTATATCGTTTGTTACAAATTCTTATTAAATTTTTCCAAAAATGCCCAGTCCATCCAAGATCTGACCGTCGCTGAGAAAGGTTTTTTGTTACGTGAATAGAAAATGACTGTGGATTGAAAGGCCAGCTGACCTCAAAATACGAGATTCCTATCGCTTGCTTTCCAAATACTAAAAGCTCCTGCAGTAATTTATATTTTTATCATAAAGTTTCAAATTAATCAGGTTTTTCCAAGTTAATGATTTTTCTTCACTAATTTCGAATTAATCAGGTTTTTATCAGGTTACATATCTGTAAAGAGTAGCAGATATGGGAATATGTTTTGAGCCTGTTTGTTGGTAATCAGCTTTGTTTACGGTTTAGGAAGACGAAGCGCTTTCGGAGAAGGAGAAAAAACGAATCAGTGTCGAAGAATGTCGTCGATCTTTACCAATTTATCCTTTCAAAGAGGATCTTATCAAAGCGGTCAGTGAACATCAGATAATTATTATCGAAGGCGAGACGGGATCTGGCAAAACTACTCAAATTCCTCAATATTTGCATGAAGCGGTAAGCAGCTTTGTAGAGTGATTGAATGGTAAGATGAGAAGCATTCTAGATTTGTTTGTAGTTTTTCTGATGAATGCGTCGGTTTCAACCTCTTAAAGACGATCTTCAGGCACTAATACTTGGACTGTTGACCATCTGTCCGTTTTTGAAACATCATGTTACTTTTGATTTATAAGAACACTAAAAGCGGTTATAACGGTTGCAATTTACCAGTGTCCTCGGCGCTTGACAACCCCTAAAGGCAGGATTTCAAGAGGAACAGTGCTATAGTCGTTTGATATACCTATACCTCCAACTTAACTCTACGGTATGGCCTTGAGAATTGATTCTGTCTTCTGAGACTTTTTCTCTTCTTTCATCCGGGGCACACATGCCAGAATCAGCGCGATTGTGGCATTGTGTGATATCTGTACATGGAGACTGAAAGCGTCACGAGAAATGGTTAGTTGTGTTACGAAGCTCGTGGAGCTTTGGCATGCGAATAGTCATTTCAAAGAACTTGTTTTTGCCGCGTGTATCTGATAATGCAGCGTTCAATCCAGCATTCTGAGGTTGATCCTTCCATATCCATAATTCATAAATGTATTTTACTCTGGTGTAATAAACACGACGGAAGCTTTCAGTCCTTCTGTTGCGAATGATGCACTCCGGAATATTTTCTTTTCATTTTTATTCGAGATAAATTGGCTTGAAAGACGGCTACTGGTCCAGTTTTTAGGTTCAAGAGAATGGTATTGGTATCATGCCGTTTCTGGAACAAATTTTCATCGTCCACTTTCCAAGCATGAATAATCAGTTTCATGCGTAGCAACAGCAGTTTTGTAAAATTATGAATGCCCAACATTGTTAATTTCACTGCGTTTCTTGATCCATAGAGTTCAAGCTTCTTACAATGTTGATTAGATTGCCCACATTATAAGTCATGAACATAATGCTGTCCATAAGGTAGATGAATGATTAGAAAAATTTCATCATGGTCTTTTATATGCTAGATAATACTAACGGTGGCCATTAGTCCTTGTGTCCAAGATTTACCAAGGTATTCTTCTCTTATACAGACCGGCCTCGAAGACCAGTGGATCTGCCAAATGTTTGGAGAGTTTGTGGCAATCCTTCAGGACTATGATAATGGCTGCGCGGCACCGTCTTACACTTCGTTGTATGTATAACTTATAAAAGGTAGGCCTTCAAACATGATCCACAAATCGATCTGTTTTGGGCTTTTTTCTCCATCTGCTGACCTGCTGTTTTTTGGCGGGTTGTTGTTCGGCTGTTCGTTTGAGGGGCCAAGTTTCTTGAACTACTACCGATGTCTCCCAACCATTTATCCAGCTGAACAAATTCGGAGCGTTTAATAATGAACACATATCACTGGCTGGTGGCAGGTAACTTACAGTGACAGCTTATCAAAGCAGGCGCCTACGCCAATTCCGAATCTCTCCTGAGTAGGAGTTTTATGCATAGCAACGTAGTTAGAATCTCGAATGACCAAACTTTCTTATTTAACGCAGTCCTCGGCCACGTGATCGTCGGTTATCAACGGGAAATCATTGTTGGACCTAAAGCATTTTCATTACTTGATTTTCTCCTTCTGTCGTAATCAGTAGGTGAGCTGAGCATGAACTTTGCGAAGCAGTTTATATGATCATGTTGGGAAATTTTTTACGCTAATGGTTGTTTGAATTTCAGGGTTATTGCGCTGATGGGAAGAAGGTCGGCTGCACTCAGCCACGACGTGTCGCAGCCATGAGTGTCGCGGCTCGCGTCGCCTATGAAATGAACGTAAAATTGGGGCTACAAGTTGGCTATAGCATTCGTTTCGAGGACTGTACTTCTGAGAAGACTTTGATCAAGTACATGACCGACGGTATGTTGTTGCGGGAGTTTCTTTCAGAGCCGGACATGCAGGGTTACAGGTATTTGCTTCATTATTGTTTGTTTTGTACTCATGTGTGTCACTCGTTTAGCGTGATTATCATCGATGAGGCACATGAACGGACTTTGCACACTGATATCCTCTTTGGACTGGTCAAAGATATCGCCCGGTTCCGGACCGACCTAAAGCTGTTGATCTCGAGCGCGACGATCGACGCTGAGAAGTTCAGTACGTTCTTCGACGACGCGCCGATCTTCCGCATCCCGGGCCGTCGCTTTCCTGTCGATATATACTATACAAGGGCACCAGAGGCAGACTACATCGACGCATCGATCATCTCCGTTTTGCAGATTCACTTGACACAGCCGCTACCCGGCGATATCCTTGTTTTCTTGACCGGTCAAGAGGAGATCGATGCCGTACAGGAAGCGCTGCAGGAGAGGTGCCGCCTGATCGGTACAAAAATGAAGGAGCTGATTGTGACACCAATCTATGCGAACCTTCCGTCTGATATGCAGGCGAAGATCTTTGATCCGACACCGTCGAATGCTCGAAAAGTGGTACTGGCGACCAACATCGCTGAGACGTCAGTAACAATCGACGGCATCAGCTACGTGATCGACCCCGGCTTCTGCAAACAGAACAGTTATGATTTTCGCCGGGGCATGGAATACCTCCACGTAGTTCCCATTTCAAAGGTATATGCCCTCCTCGTATTATAAATAAACCAAGTCAAAGTTAGATAACCATATGAATCCAAAAAATCCCTTAGTAAGTTGGTAGTAAACTAACTCTAAGAACTCTAACGTTGCCGGTCTCATGTCAGAATGAGAAAGGCGAAGTCTCGCATGAAAATTGGCCACTTGTTTTTCATGGTGGTGGTGCTGTCGAACATCATACTGCCTCGATCGTCTTCCGATTTACCGAAGGCTATGCATGCTGTTGGAAAACTGAGGCAGACTGTGCGAAGCTGATGATCAGAACATACTAAGGCGTAGCGCAGTGATGGCTGCTCGAGGTCTACACGACGATGACAAAATATGTCAGCAGCGGAGTCGCAACCTTTCTGAACAGAGTATGCAAACAGCTGGATACCATAATGGAACATCATATAAGGTTAGACATGGAGCACGCACTTAGAAATTGGATCAGCTCTTCATTCAGAGGAAAAGAGCAAAAGCTAGTTGATGGGACCGTAAGCTATCGACTGGACATATTTGGACTCTTTTCAATGAATCGACAAGGCTCTGGAATTATGAACTTCTGCGAGTTCAAGCTGTGTTACTCAGATGTCGATTCTAAGACGCGCCTAGGCCAGAGATGTAGTAGTTAGATTACTCAGTGGAGGCCTGTCAATGGAAGAGTAGCAATCATCTGACTTGACAACAGGCTAAACCTTTTACCTTGTTAGAAGTTTATGCGCCCAGTTCAGAGGGATAAAGCGAGTTCTTTCTGTAGGAAGTAGATGATCTCTGAGAAGTGCCAACCGCGGAATCTCTTATGGTGATGGGCGATTTTCATAACATTGTCAGAGCAGAGACTGAAAAGTGTAAAGAAGTGAATGGAAAGAACGACCCTAGCGACCTCAACAATGACAGCATGATGTTGTTACGGTTTTGTGCACACGATGGATTGTCTGTTCTAATCTACGTTTTCCAGCATCTAAACGTGCATCAGCATATCTGGTATAGGAACGCTTGTGCACCGAACTCATTGATGAACTTGTTGATCGTTTCATTTGGCTTACTGACGTTACCGTTAAGTGAAGCACAGCGCTGTAAATCGATCAAAACTGTTGTTGACAGTCTCTGTTAAAAACGATGAATTACGTGCGAAGACTTGGCGCCAGAAGGAATCAGAGATTCACTGTGACCCTGTTTGGGCCTTTCACTATTTTGGGTCCTGACGGTCATGCGCACCATTGAGCGATTTTGGCTCTTTAGTGTAATTCGGTCTGTTTGCTGTTCATCCTTTTACCCGACCGTTCTCAAGATCTTTTTTAGTATATGTGCTACTAGACTGCGCAATTTTGAAAGTTATTAATCTGTTTGCTAAATTTTGGAATATGTTATGACAGTTCCTTTCAGTTTCTGCCACTGCATTGTTCTAGTGTTTGTTGGAAGAGAAAGAGTTGAAAGTGAAAGAAAGGTTTATACTGAGTGTATATAAGGGTAATATCTGCAGTAATATGGCAGGATATCGGTAGTTACACATGTGTTCTATCGATATTAACTAATACTACAGTTGCTAGCTGTGCACAAACTGATCTTTGTGTCCAATATGAAGAGTTTCCGGCGAACAGAGTAGATGTCGAGGAATCATTATGGGATGCGTACTCTTCAGCTACGACATGTTCTGTATGCACACCTGTCACGTAACTGTATACGATAGGTTAACGAAACTGATAATTTTCGTTGACAGAGCTATATGTGTCTTTGCAGAGACTCTGTTCAAGAGAAGGACACTCCGACTGTGATCATCGACGGAACAGTTGAGGTCAAGTTCGCTCGTATTAATAGTCATAAGGAACCACGGTGAAACAATTTCATCATGGCTTCGTTAGGTCTGTTACGAGCGGTACTGAAACTGATAGATAATACAGTCCCAGTTCTTCCGTCATGCCGAATGCTCCTTGAACTGTTGATTAATAGCAGATGAGAACAACGGGTACGAAACACTGTTCACACCGTTTGAATGGTCATACGGGCAAAGGCAGCACAAAGAATTCGCCAAAAGTTATCTTCCTCTTATTTGTCTGAACAGAGCATGAATGCTGTTTGTCATGAGGCAATTACATTTGTCGTCTCTGCTTTTCAGTACTGGGTAGTTCAGTGCGCTTGGTGAAGCTTCGAACTCACTGTTCAGGAAGTTTGCATGCCTAGCGAGTC